TTTAGTTGTCTATATATATATATATATATATATATATAGGGAAAAGCTGAGGTTAGCCCACTAGCTACAGTGTTAGCCTAACGTCCTGGATTGAATCTGGGATGATCTGCCAGTCGCGACCTTATTTCGTAATATAATTTTAATATTTTTCTAAGAATCCAAATCACATGAAATTTTAGATGTCCATTCTTCTCATCAAGACGCACCTAATAAAAATATTAAATAAATAAATAAATCGCAAAATGTACAAAATACCCCTAAAATGTTTCAGGGGTATTTTGGTCAATTTACTTTTACGAATTATTTTTTTGATTTTTTTATTAGATTATACTATTTTTAAAGAGTAGACGCTCAAATTTTTAAGTGATTGGATTTGTAAAAAAAAAAAAAATTCAACTACGAAATGCAATCGTGACCATTGGATCGACCCAGATTCAAGCCGTTGGGCTAACACTATAGCGTAAGCTTGTGTGTGTGGAAAAAGCTATCAATAGGTTGTCACCTAAAATGAATAGTAGCTTTGTTTCATATATACATACAAACATGCACGCGCATACACACACATCACACGCATACACACATTTCGATTATGAACCAAATTTGTAGCTCCAATTAAGTTCAAAGGTTAGATTCAGGCTCGTATTACTTTAAGATTGAGACAAAGTAATAGAGGATAAGCGATGGTTAAGAGAAAAGAGAGATGGACATAAGACATAACATCGATAAAGCCATTTCAAGAGAGATGAAAAGAAAGGGAGAAATTCCCCCATTAGATTGGTCCTCCATCTCACCTATATTCCTAAGATATATTGATGCTTAGGAGCAATTTACTCACTTCCATTTTAAAAACAAGGAGTATCGTACCCTGGTGTTTCAGATGTTGCTTGATTCTTTAAACATTGTAGATAAAGGTGCAGCTTGTATAACGTGCCAACCTTAAATAATCAAAGTAAGGCGCACCTTCAAACCCTTCTGAAGAGGCAGCCTTGGTGCAAAAGACCCTTGCGATGGCAGGAAAATCTATTTTCACCCCTAATTATGAAATAAAAAACTCCAGAAATGTTGCAAAACAAGTAGATCTATAAAAACTTCAAAATCTTAAAAATGGACTATCCAGATGATGCGTTATAAGATACACTATTTCCAATACTAGAAATCGTTTTTCTTCATATCCATACATCTCAAGGTCAAGATGATCAATTGGGGGTTTTCCATAATCAATTAAAGAGAGTACAACGAACCAAATATTATAGGCTATCGACAGGGATGAAGATCTATTTACAAAAGCCCCTCAGGACCCTAGACCTTCTATGAGTGACCTTTCTTTCCTCTCACTTCCCCTTAATAAAGCTCTTTGGTTGGAGAGACCTTTCTCTAAAGAAAAAATCCAGGAAGCAATTTCGCTTCTTGCTTCGGACAGGGCCCCTAGCTCTGATGGGTACCCAATAGCTCCTTTCAAACTTTCCTCGGATTCTTTTCGTTTCTTCCTTGCTTGTTTCAAAGAGTTTCATTCCAATGGAGTCATCCATAGAGCAATGAATGCTACTTTCATTACCTTGGTCCCTAAGATAAAAGGAGCCCAACAGCTGAAAGACTATTGCCTGATTAACCTGGTCAACTCTACCTATAAGATCATCTCCAAGGTCCTGACCTCTCACCTGAAGAAGGTCCTTCCCTTGGTCATTTCGCCATCCCAGAGTGCTTTTGTCAAAGATCGACAAATTCTTGATGGGGCCATAGTGGCCCATGAATGCATACACTCCAGACACCTAGCCAAATTACCTGGCCTCATAATCAAATTAGACTAGGAGAAGGCATATGACCATGACGACTGGGAAATCTTAGAAGAAATTCTTGCTAGAATGGGCTTCGGTGGATGAAACCTTGCTACTCCCAACCTTTCTTCTCCATTCTTATGAATGGATCACCCAAAAGCTTTTTCCCTTCTACTAGGGGACTAAGCCAAGGAGATTCCCTCTCACCTTTTCTCTTTGCCATCTCAACTGACATTTTTAGTCAATCCATTTCCCGGATGTTTGCTGCTAGTAGTATGAACGGATTTTCTTGCGGAAACTAGGGCCCTATCGTCACGCATCTCCAATACGCGGAAGATACCCTTGTCTTTTGCAACGCCTCACCCGAAGAAATCAGCAATCTTTTCTTGTTCCTCATATACTTCGAATGTGCCACGAGATTCAAAATCAACTTCAATAAGTCTAAGATGATGGGGGGTAGCGGTAGATTTTCCTTCTCTTAAAGAGTTCGCGGATAGTTGGGGTTGTGAGGCAGAAAATCTCCCACTAACTATCATGGCCTACCCCTGTGCATTGGAAAACCTAAGAAGCGCTGGTGGTCCCATATTATTGACAAGGTGGACCAAAAACTCGCGAGTTGGAGGGGTCGTTTCCTTTCCACAACAGGAATGTTAACTCTCATTAAAGCTACCGTGATGCACATTCCCGTATACCATATGTCAATTTTCCATATGCCTATAGCAGTGAGTGCTCGGCTTGGACAGTTATTTCGCAGATTCTTTTGGTTGGGAGAAGCCACGAATCACAAATTTCACCTCATCGCATGTGAAACACTTTGTTGATCCAAGAGGTTCGGGGGACTTGGGATCAGAAATTTGAGGAAACATAACTTGGCACTACATGGTAAGTGGTGGGGGCGCTTGGCTACCCAAAGTCATCAGTAATGGATTGATATCCTCAAGAACAAATATCGCATTCCTTCCTCCCCCCCGTTACCCGTCTGCAGGATCAACAATAGATCTTCTGGGATTTGGAGATCAATTTGCTCGTCCTTTCAGTTGTTTAAAAGGTGCATTCAGTTTCACCAAAAACGTTGGTAGTCAAATTCTTTTTTGGAAAGACCTTTGGTTCGGTCAAGCACCTTTCAAGGAGAGGTACCCAGACCTTTACTTGCTCGCTTGTTCACAAGAGGCAATGGTGGCAGACAAGATGACTGAGGTTGCATCGTCTCGCTCTGGGAACCCAGTATTCAAACGAGCGCTTAATGATTCCAAGATAATTCTCTTCTGAACCTTGCTGCTGCCCTTCAAATTTGTTTTATTGCCACACCGGGAATGGACCGCATTATTTGGACACCAAGTGCCTCAGATGCCTTCACTGTTTCTTCCTTTTAACAAAAACTTAGTCAACCGCCCACTTTCCCATTATCTCCTACTTCCCCAATAGCCCAAGCTTAGTCCTCTTTTGCCCATCCTAAAATTCAGGTCTTCACGTGGTTAGCCTTCTCCGAGAGGGTGGTCACGGTTGACCAGCTACAAAAAAGAGGAATCCCTTTACCTAACCGTTGAGCCCTTTGTTTGGCAGATGAGGAAACTAATGCTCACCCTTTCTTGCACTGCCCATTTGCTTTTAAGATTTGGGGAGAATTTCTCCACCTTTATAATGTTTAGTGAGTACCACCGGCCACGATACCCTTTATCCTAAACTCTCTCCAACCTTTCCCTTGCCCTAAAGCAGGAATTTTGTTGTGGAAATCCTCGGTGGCAGCCTCTATTTACGCAATCTGAATAGAGCACAACAATAGGATCTTCCGGGGTGAGTACTCCTCATGGTACAATACCTTCGTCAAGCTTAAATCCTCGGTTGTGTTTTGGGCAAATAAAAGTTTCAAAGGGGTTCCTCGCTCCGCCTTTTATCAGGACTGGGTTGCTATCCTTCATCATAGTCGTAAGCGCCTACCTCAGGCATCAAATTGGAGACCACCAAACCCGGGTCAATTCAAGCTCAACTTTGATGGTTGCTCTTTTGGAAACCCCGGGCATGCAGGTATAGGCATTATATTCAGGTACCACCTTGGCTCAACAATCACCTCCATTTCTAAGAACATCGGTCATACTGACTCTACAGAAGTGGAGGCGACGGCTCTACTTGAGGGGATCAAGCTTCTTCATGCCCACAGTGAGTTTCTATTATAATAGAGGGAGACTCCAAAGAATGTTATTGCCTGAGCTACAAATTCTTCCCCCCCTCCTTGGGTTTTGGCTCATATTTTTTATGAGATTAACCACCTTTGCAAGGATATGCTCGTCTTATGGAGGCATACCTAGCGGGAATCAAACCAGGAGCAGACACTCTCGCTAAGGAGGTGGCGACCCAGGATGGTTTTTAGCATCTTTGTATTGGATCGACTTCTTTAAGTCGGCTGCTTTGCTATTACTTCATTGTAACTTTAAAAGTTGGCTTTAGCAAACATTGCAGAACCTATATACCTCTATTTAAAACTAGAACCCATGAGAAATCAAACTCTGCAGCAGCAGCAGCATCTATATATATTTTTCGATTGGAAGAATAGTTCATAGCATGCTGCCAATGCATAAGTATGTGAAGGCATAAATGGAAACTTTATGGCAAGCATCCACTAGGAAAAATATTATTACGCATTTAAAGTGTAGTGGAACATCAAGTTACAAGTAACATATAATAACTCTAATTGTGAAGAGAGAAACCAAGAAGAATCAGATAAGGTGAATGAAAAGTTGGGAATTCTTGTTGGTCCAGTTTGACAGTGAAGTAAGCTCCCTCATTGAGACCATAATTTGAAACCCATATTTTCTGAACTCATTCACAATTGAGTCCTTCACTGTTAATAAATGTAATCACATTTGACTGTGGTTTAGCTAGTGCAGCTCCTCATTTCTCCATGTCAATTTCAACCCCCTAAACCTTCAGTTGTTGCAGATACATTATGGATATTGTTTCCATAGTTGCATCTTAATGACACAAGGATGTAATAACAGATATCCTTGAAACTACATTATAGCATATATAACAATATATGCTAAGAAAAATTAGAAACCTCCGGCATTCCAATGAAGCAAGGATTAAGTTTTAAATTTTTTCATTTTAAAAAAAAAAATAAGTGCATTATATGAAATTGACTTCTGAAAGTACCAGCGGCTTGAGAGATTATTTGTTTCATTTTGATGGTTTATCATAAAATTCAAATTCTACCATTCCAATTTTCCGAGTCCACTATCCACTCATTGCAAAAACAAAATAATACAAGAAAGAAAAAAACAGGGATGCAAACTTACGGACTCTTGAATCTCTTCTTTTACTATATAAAAAGGGTCTTGTGCAGGCGTCATTGATTAGAATTTGAATTATCTTCCCAACTCCCTATACCTGAGTAGGCAGACACCACATCAAGAAAATTAAATTGACTCATGAGTAAAATTTATCGCTCATTATAATATTATGTATCTGATCACAGACATGCTTGAACACACAAACACAAACCCAGGAACTTGGGAATGCAATCAATGCAAATCTCAGAATAGTAAACAATGCAAATAGAGAAGATACAATAAAAAGATGATTCACTGGCATGCTAGAGACAGAAAGAGGTGATAGTGAAATAAAGTCCAGACTGAATTGTAGTTCTTCAGTGTTTTGATTTTTCTTTAGAAGATATTTTATTGATGGAGGAGAGAGTGTATAAGGTCATATAATGGAGATAGAATGAACAAAAACAACAATGGAGGAACAAACGAATTCTCAGGGTATGAAAGTAGGGCATGACCCTTGATGTAAGCCATGTTCGGACCTCAGGTTCAACAGTTGTTCTTTCCCTATAGCTTCGATAATTTGAAGGCATACAAAATCGCTTATAGTGTTAATAAAACCTGGGTTTTATAGCTATCAGGTACCTATTAGGGTCATAGAATGAGTGTCACTCTAACCAAACCCTAAGGTCAGCCTTTCCAGGGATTCGATAAAGAAATTGTTAACCTTCTTGTTGAACGCAATTTTCACCATTGCTTCATATAGCCCGAAGGAGAAGGAAGATTATGGCATGGAAAAGGACACCTATACGAGAAAAGTGGAGTTATTTGGGTTCCTGTCTATTGTGTCACTTTTAGCTCAGATATGCAGATATAGTAATAATCTCATGCTGTGCAACCATAATATTGAGAATTACTCCCCAAACATAATTATATGATAGAGAGAGTGGAACCAGTATTATCAAATCCATTCGCATCGGGCTCTTTAGCCGAAGTCCTAGAGTTTTACATCCAAACGAAAGCGAAGTGACTCACTCCTCAACATATTTCAATCACGGACACAGTTTATAGAGTCAGCCAACTATGTAGTCTGTAGATTTGCCCCTCTCTCCGTTATTCATTTTAGAGATGGATTTTGAATCCAATATTTTAAGTGTATATAACCTCTAACACAAGGATCATTAATATGTAAAAAAAATTGAATTCAAAAAATAAAAAAAAAGACATTTTTCGAAGAATAATTCTTGACCATTCATGTTAGTTCTTTGCGGGGGCACCACTTTTTTGCATACATCTTTAAGATGGATGCTTCGTGCATCAAGGGATGCAAATATAGAATTGCATCCCCTGACAGGGGATGTAAATATAGAGTAGAATGGCAAACCAAGATTCATGTAGGCAACTCCAATTAGTTGGGAAAAGGCTTTGATTAAGATAATGATAAAGATAAACTACCAAATACTTGCCCGGAATCAGCCACAAGGCCAAAGGAATTCCCTTTTCTCACCGAAGGGAGATCCCTTTGAAGCAAACTGATAATATTGGCTGAAACTTTCATCCATAGGTGGTTTATGAACTATTCCATGAGTGGGTTTCTTCGGTGGGTTTTGTGAAGGTGGATTGGTCTTTCAATTTGGGAGCCTGCCTTCAAATTGCCATAATTTGCATCTTATTGAAGGATGCCATGTCCACAATGTTTGTGACATCTCTAGTGAGAAAAAATTAGTTGAAGTTTTTATCATGGGGAAGATCAGAAATCTCGGCAACATTTAAAATGGTAATAGCAGAGTGGTTTTTGACAACACTAGTTTTGACAATACCATTTTAATAAAGAATATTCTAGCTTAAGGGTCTACATGAGACCTAGCCTCGAGAGATATTTTGATTGGATGAGGGATGCCTAGCCAGTTCATGTAAAGTAGCACCATTTATGTCCATTTTCAAGGGCATAACCTTCTTATTCATCAGGATAACAAACCTCTGTCAAAACCACCGCATTTCATGACTTGAAGAGAAGCCATCATAATATGCTCATCCTTCACTGAGAGGCAAGGAAGGGGAACAAAGAGAGCGCACAAAAGTATTATTTAAAAATTAACTAGATACGACCCAGGAAATAACCTTACATTTCTATCACTCCTTTTAATTATAGATTTCCTGATAATTGGAGCAATATACAAGCGAGAAGATTTTCCTGTGGAGAAGGCCAGAAAGACAGAGCAACATATTATCCCAACTCCTAAGAGATAAGGGACACTACTAACTCAGAATGGTTCCTTTTGTACACAAACTATAACCATAAAAATTCATCCAAGAATCATCTAACTTCAACCTGCAAATTCTTTTTTATCAGATGTCTCTGAAGAGACACACCCACATGACATGATGTCAACCATAGATAAGTATCAAATAACCACATGCCATAGCAAAATACGAAAAGTGAATATTATTCATTTATCCCTTGAAACCATCTAAAGAGCCAAAACTCAAAAATCTCAAATTCTCCAACCACCAATGAAATCAAACAACCAAAGTTCCACATTTTTCATATACTTTGAACATTGGCAAAACCAGTGAAACCCATGGAGCCCCACATGAAAGGAAAGAAACCTCCACTCATGAAAGTGAATAACCCAATCAAGTTTCTAAATTATAAGTAAAATACCCATGACTTTGTACAAGTAAAAGATTTTTATGAAGAATATTCTAAATCACAATCAACAATGGAGGTTTTTCAATCACTAGAGTAAAACATAAAAGCACAGTAAAGAACAGTGTTCAAAGTCGGCCCATTTTTCATAAATCAACCGACTAACTCGGAGTCAGTCACCGGCCGATCCTGAGTTTGCCCGATTTCATAGGTTATGTATAGGGCAATTTACATACAATGCCCTAATCGGCCAATTTACTGTACAAATCGGCACTAATCGGCACTATTTTCTCTCTCTTATTTGTTCTCCCACTCTAGAAAACATCTCTCTCTCTCTCTCTCTCTCTCTCTC